GCCAACCAAATAAAAATCTTTATACACACATATCATTAAATAATGGTGACTGGGTAACGCCAATTACTAATTGCATGTAATCTACTTGTCATAATTCATAATGTGCATTGGTACGCAAACGATATGATTCCTTGTTTCCAAATAATTACATATGATATTATCTCTGATAATCCTGAAATAACTTGCATAATGTAACGTTCGACCGTCAATTTTTCCATTTCTGTGACATATTATCGCAAATGTTTTAACAAAAATGCTTTTCACTCCCTTTTCGTTCTATTATTCTTTGGACTGCATTTCTTACTTATTTTTTTTCATACCCACCTCCATCTCTATATTCACAATATCGCTTCATCAAACTCTATCTACACTTTCGACTTCAATTTATTTCTGAACGTCAATCACGCTTTCCGTGAAAATGTACGGTTGCATATACGCACTCGGATGTTTAAATTAATTCCCTGCAAATGCTTTCAATATTTCACAACATGATATTAAATACTGGCACTTATCGTATTATGCACATTCCTTTATTGTAAATTTGTACAAAACTTTTATCACTTCTTTCTTCGTCTGCTCGCTTCATATTAAATTATCCCGATACTAATATTCATACACCTTCTCTATCTCGTACATTATAAATGTACTCGAAAATATAAAAAAAAAAAAAAAAACAAAAAACAAAAAAAAATTTTCTTCTACTATTGATTTACGTATAATTAATAATTCTGCATTATTGAAAAATGCCGGAACAATTTGTATTTATATTGGCTGCATACCAACATCCTCCAAATCAAAACCAAATACTTACATTCTCTCAATGTTCTCCATTTCTCGTACTGGAATCATAAACATTTTTTTTGGAAAACAATATGATAATACAGCTCTCTTGTCAGGCACTTTGAAGACATATCAGCGAGCCTCTTGTAACGAGGACTGGATGACGCTGAAGTGTCCGATTGGCACGGCAATTCTGGTCACAGTCGCGCGTTATGGACGCGCCAGTATTGACAGTAGTGGCAAGTGCAGTACTACTGATCCTATGATTACCGATAACCACCTCAATTCTACGTGTCTCTGGCCTAATGCACTTCAGGTAACTATGACCTCTTTCGACTTGGCCAATTCATTTCAATTTTACAAGCGACGCCCATACGATCAATTCGCTTAAATAGATCCTCGATTATTTGCATTATTCTTACTAATGTTAATGCTTGAAACACGCGCCTCTACTCGCATAAATTACACGTAAATATGGAATTATAATTTCATAGAAAAATTATGGACAATTTTGTTGGTTTTTATGAAATTTTAGTATTTTTTATTTTTTTTTATTTTTTTGTTTTTTTTTGTTTTTTTTTTTTTTGTTTTTTGTTTTTGTTTTTGTTTCTTTACAAATGTATTCGGCTCTATAATAACATTAATGCAATTTATTAATAATGAATAGAAATAAGAATGGGGATGATCAAGCTAGATAGACTAAGACTATTGGAAATCTTTAAATGATAATGTTTCAATGCGCTATCTAGTATTCAAAAATTGAATCGCTTAAATGAAAATTTGAACACATATTTTCTTATAAGGAAGTTATGTAAAAAATGTAGTGAAAGTCGATATTTATAAAAAAAACTATTGCCACTTAAATAATATAACGATTACGGCTACTTCAATAATATAATAATTATATTTTAAATTTCTTCAATTTTTTAATTATCTATATATCTATCAAAATATTCGTAAAAACCAATGGCATATGAAAGAGCCATTAGGTCTGGTATTCCGTCGTTTTATTTAAGATTATTATGCGTTTATTTAACATTATTTATATTTTTTTTTTTTTGTACAATTCATAACTACGAAATAATACCACTGAAGAAAAATATATTTCCATTTAGACCACGAATTTTTAGGTTTCTATTTGTGTAGCTCTTTACTTAAAGTTATAAAATATTTTTTAAAAATTCTTCTATTATTTCTGAATTGTAAGAAAAAATGTCACAAAGAATAATAAGTAGAGAGCAAAAAGAAAGAGAACAAAAAATTGCTGTCGTGTAGTTAACATCAAAAGATTTCCTTATAACAAAATCAAGAACAAATTTTTCCTAACTTTTTTATCATGATTTTTACAGAAGATACCCATATTGTTATTTTTCTTATTATCTCTTTCAAGATTCCTTAAGTTTCCATTTTTCATGCCATTAAACTAAAATGCTCTACATTCGGATACTAATTTTACAGATTTTTGAGTTTACTTTCTTCTTAGGTTTTAATCTGGATAATTGGTTTTAGTTAGAAAATTTATTTAGTTCATATAAGTAATATGAAAATACTTTCATTATTTTATATAATTTTCAAATATCTTGAAAAACTCCTTTTATGAAAAACATTTACAAAATATCGATAAAGGCTTAATAGCATATACTGATTGTTCCTTGATTATATAAAAATAAATTAGGTTTTAAGCTACGAAATATATCCCAATAATAAGAATATGGTTTTTTTTTATTATTACATGCAAGTAAAGTACCTTAAATAAAATAATTATTATAAGAATTTTCTTTTAATGAAATACATTAGAATAAGAAAATAGCCGTTTTCAATGTATATTGAAATAAATTTATAATGAAATAAGTCGTTAATAAATTTAATTGAATGATGTATTATTAAAACTATAAATATCTATATACTTAAATTTAATATACAATAGAACAATTTTATACGTATTTATTGCTAAAAAGTTTTTAATTTAAATAAATTTAAAAATATATTCGAGAAAATCTTATATAAAAATATTTGTTTAATCGTTATTTAAATAGAAGAAGAAATTTCAAAATATTGAATTTATTGTAATTATTTAATTATTCATGTTGTACAAGAATTAAAAAGAAAACACTCATGATATGATAAAAACATAACTTTATTTTAATTTGAGGCATATTTTAAATTTATTTTCTCAAATTTTGTTTCATTATATCATTTATAACTACTAATTGAACATTAAATATTCAATTATCCATAGAATTTGGTTTTCATCTTATATCAAAATAAAATATTGTTGCCTTTTTTCATTTTTATTTTAAATTATTAGTATATGGTTTTTCGAATATTTCTGTAAATCTGCTGTCAGTTAAATTATTCATTTGATTAATTCAAATCCATAAATTCCAATAAGAAATCTTGTTTTACGCATGTTTGCTTGTCAGACTTATTTATTCTTTGTTTGCATCCTTTTTATATTTTTATTTTTTTCTGTTCCGATTATTATTTATCGAAGTTATTCAATGATTTCAAAATCTACTAAATTAATTTTTTTTACTTGAGTTTATTCTTAAGTAAATGTAGCGATTGATTCACACTTTCGTCTTAAGTTGCTACACATAAAGATTTATAACGCATAACTATACAAGTGATGACACGTTACCATCAATTGGTAGTTTAAATATTTCATTTAAAACTAAAGCATAAATATTATAAGTATATTGTAAATATATATTGTTAATTATAAATACAAATATATTATCAAAAACGCTACTATGTAATTTCTGCAAAGTGTAAAAATAAATTATGAATCAAGAATTTTTCGTAGCTTTCTGCATGTCCATAAAAGTTTATGTCAATATTACTTTCAAATGGCGACAGTTCACTTAAGTTTGGCTTGAAAGCAAACATTGTGACTGAAAAGAATTTCGTTTCCTAAACTCTCTGATACATCTGTCACTGAATGTTTAATAACGAAAATTTTTTTGGAAATATACCATCTCTTGATAAATAATTTTCATTCATATATTAAAAATATTCGATTATATTATGTGTATTATTAAAATCATTTATAAATGAAAATGTAAAAAATTCGCTTATTCAAATGTTGGGTGTTCAATAAGAAAAAGTTCTCGAAAATATTTAATTCGTAATCGTATATTATTTACAGATTTCTAACAATATAAAGTTTATAAAGATAATTATAAAATTAATCTTCAATCAATTGCTTAATAAAAATCATATTCTAAAATAACAATTATTGCTATAATCAAAATAAAATCAACATTTTTGATGAAAATCATTATCAATTTTAGAACTTTAGCAACAAAGTAATTGATGAGAAGATACTACAATAATTGATAAGAAATAAATATTTTATTAAATATAAACTTCTTCAACTTAGATGTAGATGCACAAATTGATAATCTTTTTTATAATTCAATCAGTTAATTATTTAATGAAAATACTCGATTGCGCGTTTCGCTATTATTTAAAAAATAATTCAAGTTAGATCTAGTAATCAAGTTAGTTTGACTCTTCATAATTAATAATAAATAATCTAAGATAAAATAAGGATTTCTTCCATACCCTTCTGAATAAAACTGATATTTACTGTATTTTATAATGAGAATACTTTGTAAACGTTAACAGTGAAATAAAGTTGTATCTCTTTAGTACAATTAATGCCATAAAAAAGTACCAGCCTATATAAATTGATGACCTCACCTTCTAATAAATACATGTAAATCAAATTTTTCAAAACAACTGAAGCATTTTGATCAGAAGGTGAATAAATTAGAACCTTCTCTGCTTCCTGGATTACTAAAGACACCTGATTCATGTTTAAATTATAAACATATCTTTTTTTCATTCGGCTTTGTCCGTCCTATAATCACTGTTTAATCGAAATATTGTCTAAATAAGAAATTAGACATATTGGTTTTATTATATACATATTGAAAAATACTCTCAAAGCATTGTTTCTAATGATATAGTTGCATGAAATAATATAAAGCATTTATGTGGACATTTGAAATTTGAAACTATTGTTTTATTCATATATTTTGTTTATATCTGTAAATTTTATTAATTGCTCTGTTAAACTTTCATCGTATTTATTTGCCGTTTTGCGCACAATGTATATTGTTCGTATTTTAAAAGCTTTTTATTAAATTCCTTCACCGTGTAATGTTATATGTGGCATTCTCATTACCAAGTGGTGATGGCGATTCTATTGTCTTTGTATTTTCGTATTTAGAGAATTGTTGAAGTATCTGATTATTATAATTTATAAAAAGAACTCATTATTTCAATTTGGCACATTATATACAATGTGTTAAATAATTTAATATCATTCAAGCAATACCCGAAACACACTACATATTTCTTTTAATATAGATAAAATATATCTGGTAGTTTTGTAGTCGCTACAATTGGTTAATTCGTGAATGGATAATTAATTATGAAATTTTATGTGAATTGTAATAATTAATTTACTTATTGATTTTGCTGTCGAAGTATCATTATACAAATCACATAGAATTTATAAATCATGATATTCCCCTATCCAAAAGCTTGAAATAGTGACTAGATACTTTCAGGTATTCAAAATATTCAAACAACAATAATGCAGAATAATCATAAATTCCATAATATCTTTCATTTTATTTTTAAACCGGTTGAATGAAAGTTTGTTTGACGCTAAAACCTTCCATAATAGTTTATATTGTAATAATATCAATCTAATCAGAATATTAGCAGAATAATTATTAATATTAAAATTAGACAACCAAATCATGTACCCAGTCACACTCACTGTTTAAAAATTAGTTATAATTGCGAGTATTTTACGATATGGTATTCAAATAAAATTTTCAATTAAAAATGACTCTTTTAACTACTTTTTATATTAAATAAATTAGAAAATATATTTAACGGCTTAATATGAATTAAAAAAAATGTGTAACAGATCTTTATGTTTAATGAATTATAATTATATTTATTATACATACGGAACGAAAGCTTTCCTAGTTTAACTAACTTGACTCCTTTTTTCCCTGTGTATTAAAATTTCTTGCTATGTTATTCGAAATTTAAAGAACTAATATGTTGAAAATTGTTATTGAAGTTCCGAAAATTTTCTCTAAATCAGTATGAGGGAATCTCTAAATATTGTTTTATTATTTATGTATCATCGAAATAAAAAATTTTAGATTATAAGAGTAAGGATTTAATAATAGATTGAATGAAGTAAATAAAACTCGTATTGATTAAAAGAGTTCAAAGCACATTGTTTCATAACATATTATATTATTCACGATATTATTTCAAGGATAG